GGCGGGGGGGGGCGCCGGCCGCCCCACAACCCGCCTGTTAGTGCCTGTGCTGGGGCAGGAGGAGGTGGCTGCAGCCCCCCGTGCCCGGGGGAGCAGGGGAGCCCTCTCCAGCAGCCTGTTCCCACGCAGCGAGTCTGGGGAGACGAGGAATGCCAGCAGATTCAGCCCATTAGCGTGTGGCAGCACCACCGTGTTCCTCTGCCCAACTGTTTAACCTCATTTTTGAATGACTAATCTTGGAGAGCCACCTATGCCTCCATCTCAAAATACTTCCCATATTTGGATTGTTTCTATCATTTAAAAGAGTTGTTTGGAATGCAACAGTGAATGATCTGCCAGGGCCTGTCACCACTTCCACCATAATAAATCGGTCTGACCCGCGCCCCCACAGCAGCTGACTCGAGCGGCGACTTCGCTGCCCCAGTTGCCTTCTTCAGCACACAGCAAGAGAAAACAGCAAGGACGGAGTGGAGAACATGCCTGAATGCTGCCACAGGGCTCCAAGCTGATAGTTTTTGTTTAAAATCCAAACTAGAAAATGTAGAAGATCTGAGCATATTACATACAAGTTAGTGGAGGGGAGCAGAAAAAAAAAAAAATAAATAAAAAAAGGAGAGAGAGGAGAGATCAGTTGTTAAAATTGGACATAATCTTTACAAAAAATCTTTGGAAGAAAAAAAGTTGCTGGTATGACTAAAAAGTGGCAGAGCTGCCAAATATTTCAGGTATTCAGAGCCTGCCAGAGCCCTGCGGATTAGCACTGGCCCGTTTCTCCTTCCCTTTTTCCCTTTCTGCATTTCAGCTAGCCTGACCAGAGTACCTGAACTGAGCACAAGGCTGCAAGTCAGCAGACCTGATTTTATTTCCAGCTCTGCCACACTTGCCTATTGAGCTTGAACAAGTTACTTAGTTCAAGAATTTCAGAAATGGCCTCTAAATATAGGAGGGAGGAGACTGGATGGAGAGAGGCTATTTGGGGAGTCCCGCACAGAAAAGCTACGCTCTGCTTCTACGAGATGCTGAAAATGAAATGCAAGAAGCACTGAACGACATTGAGCAAATTATAGGTGTTGAGCTGAATAACCCTTCTCTTCTCAACCTGAGAACCCCCCAGTTAAGCTCCCCAGAAATAAGCAGCTGCTTTTGAGCCTTCCAGCTTTAGCCTCCTGGTAAAATAAGGAGAGCTCACTCATCTCCATGCAGCTTTTGGCTCATGCACTTCTCATCTCCAAACGATGGGGGCTAATTGGTGCCGAGCACCCACATTGAGGGCCCATTTCTGCCACGGTGCCCACGGAGAGGTGGCTCTTGGGCAGCACAAAGCGTCACCTCCACGTGCACCCAGGGAGCTGCCCTCCCCCGGGGCCACCGCCAGCACATCTGGCAGGGCCACCACGGGCCACCAGCCCTGCCTTTGATCCAAGCCTCAGGAATGTTCCTGGGAAGAGCCCTTGCTTTCAGTCCACCATGTTCAGCTTGTCAAACCGCAGCAGAGGAGTCTGCGCTGGAGGGTAAATGGGCACCAGTCTCTTAGAAGGGTGGTTTTCAACGGAACGCGAGAAAATTGGGTCCCAGCTCCTTTGGAGACCAAGGAAAACGCAAGGCTACAAGCCCAGGACAAATGAGTCAGTATGAAATGAATCTGCTGGGATTTCTGTGCTAGCTAGTGTCTAGATTTCTAGCTAGTGTCTGCTAGGGATGGAGGTGCATGGCAGGAAGATGCGCTAAGGCTAAGGTTGCTGCCAGGTTGTGGCTGAGCCTCCTTATTTGGGGGCGAGACGTTCACCTGCAAGAAAAACGGCCCTGTTTTTGCAGCTGTGCACAGAGCACTGGTAAAAACAGTTTGTGCCTTGTTTGTTCCCGTCAGGCAGCAGTGTGATTGATTCCAGCAAAGATTTGTGCCTGCTGTTCCCAGGGGGCAGCTGTGTTTCCAGACAGAGAGATGAACTACTTAAAATCTGACCTGTGCCTCACACTGTACACCTCTGTTTTATTGAAGAGCATCCGAGGTTAATATGGAGCTGTGGGACTGCAGCTCTTTCAGGAACAATTAACTACAGGGCATTTGAAAGCATGTATTTGCAAAATAAATTATCTTACTGAGAGTTTTGCACAGCCCTTATGCCTGCCTCATCTTCTCTAGCTACTGCCTTTTACAAGGCATTGGCAGGGCTGGGGGGAGAGGGTCAGGAATGGTGCCTTTGAGTTTGGAAAGCACTTGGATATTGTGGGATTCCCCTGGAAGCAGCAAACTCTACCACTGTATTTGCCAGTGAACTAAAGACACAACTAGATCCATCTTCAACCCACGTCTTCTCCTTCCAGTATCACATCTAGCCCTTCAGAAACTAGTCTTAAAGGACCCCTGTGACGAAGGCGCTACCTTGGCCTAGAGTGTGGGCAAACCAGAGCCATGGGGAGGCTCTTGGGCAGCTGCACAACCCGTGGGCATCCCGGCGCTCCCGGGGAGCTCCCACGCCTCGGAGCGCACCGGCACGGCCACTTACTCGTGCTGCAGCAGGTCTTTGAAGTGAATCATCTCCACAATGACCTGGACGTTCTCCTTGGCGGCGGAGCAGAGGTCGTGCTTCAGGTAGCACTCCCGCTGTAACTGGAACACCATCTCTTTAATGGCAGGGCACTTACGGCTGATGCAGCTGAATTTATGCCTCAAGGCATGAGCCTTACACTTCAGAGCATCTTTAATGAAGGATTTTCCCTGAGAAGAAAAGAAATGCAGTCGGTCTGTATTTCTGTCCATTAAGCACAGCAGGTGATTTATGCTCAACTAGCTGCTCCTCTGGAAGGCAGCGTCAGGAGTTATTAGGTTGCTAAGGATATTGGTTAATGGCTTTTCCCCTCTTCTCTATTTCCTCACCCTTCAAGATCGTGCTAAGTTCCCCTGTCTCATTATTCCAGCAAGGCTGGACACACAGGGTCTTTTCTCTGCTTTTAGGAAACCTTTAAAGTTTCCTCTGCCTCAACAGTTGACTGGCCAAAAAGGAGAAAGGCAACAGAGCACCTTTAGGGAATGTGATGCTCAAGTTACTGGCTTCATCCACTTCTGGGTGACAGCACAGCAGGATCACACCAAGTGCATCCTACAGTGGCTGAGGTCCCCGGGGCCCTGAGCACATAGTAAGTTAGTCACCCCAAATTAGCTTCTTTCTTTTTAAAAACCAGTTTGCAATCTCCTTTGAGTCCAGCAAGATATGTGCAGGCCCCATCCCAGCTGTTAGGGTTTTCTCTAGGACCACTCCTCAGGCAGAAAGGGACTCAAATGAGCTCTCCCAATAATCCTACAGTGCCTTTTGATGTCTTTTTGCTGGAAGAAATTGAGTGACATTAAAAAATCTTAAAGGTTGCTGGAAAGCTGCTTTGGCAACATCCCTTTAACCACTGCTTGCGAATCCCTTGTGCAATTGTTTGGAGGAAGTCGAGGCAAAAATCCTCCCTTCCTTTTGCCTTTTGGCAGCTAGGCACATCGCAGGCCCGTGCTGGCTCTGCTCACGCTGCCCGACTTTGCTGAGCAATAGGTGTGCAGAAGCAGCAGACGCTGCCTCCGTCCCTGCACCAGTTGCAGATTATTTTACACAAATGCTTCAGAGAAAATTAGATGGAGAAAGATCCTGTCTTTTACCCAAAGGGAAGCCTGGCACAACTCTACTGACACTAATGAAGACTCACAGGAGATGGGCAAGTAAATTTTGTTCCCAAATTGTTTCAAGCCAGATCAAATTGTTTCTGATCAAAGAATTGCTTCAGTTGTCTTCCCCATCTGTGCCACATACCAAAGGCACTCAGCGGCCCTGCCCCACGGCAGCCGACAGGCACCACGGGCAAAGAAGGACAAAGAGAAAGTTCTTATACAAACCAAACCCAACGTCACCTCTCAGGTTTCAAAGAAAAGTGAAGGGGAGCAGAAAGCAAAGCGACCAGTGCTGGGCTCATCATTTAATGCACCCAGAAAGGCATGTGGATAATGAGAAGGGCCCTAAAACGCCATGTCATAGCCGAGGGTCAAGTCACTGATGTATTAAAAAGGTTTGAGACTTCTTTTTGCACAGCAGCGCAGAGAGCCTGCATGTGAAACAGCCTGTACTGGATTAACAGTATCCCAGTATCCTGCGGAAGGAGCATCCCAGGCTGCACTCGGCCTTCCCAGGGCTTCGCCTTGTTCACCAACAGAACAGCGTGCAGAAATAAGATAGCGCTTTCTGGAAGTCAGCTGGAAATTAAGTTGAGGGTCTTCAGACACCCATGGGCTTAACAGAAGCAATTCTCCAATTTTAATGGCCAGACCAACCCTTATCCCAACCCCATCCTCGAGAACTTAAGCCAAGAACTCCAGCACTTCCAGACTGTTTTTCCACTGGATGGTCCCACTATCCCTCATGAAAAAGGGAAAATCCTGATGTCTGCCCTGCTTTCTACCATGCTTCTAAGAGGGCTGTATAGATGGTTCTGTTAGTCAAGCTATACTGCAAGCTGCACGGTCAAGCCAAATGCCACTGGCCTGTCGTAATGTTCTCTTCCCTCCACACTGAAATGGGAGAGGAGCTTTTCAGGACATAATAACAGGATGTCTCAGTGATGCATACATGGTCTGGGGAGAAAATGAAGGAGACAAACTATATGGCATACCAAGTAATGTATCTTAATGCCAATGCTCGAACCAAAGGATTATTTGAATATAGTGGCTTTAGGAGGTTGCCCATATTGGTGGTGTCTTCAGAACAAACTTTAACTGCACCTTGGGAAATTATGCCTGGATGAACTGGGTGCCCAAGCTGCATTTGCAAATCAGCTTTGAAAACAAAAAGAATGAGAAGCTTAAGCCGCTGGGCTGAATCAGAACAGTCATCTAGATAGACAGAGTTTTCTGAAACATTATCCAGGTACCAGAGGAGGGAACTGGAGCTACGGATTGGGACAGTCTCCAGGGACAGTCACACACTGCCCCTGTGCTGCTCTGCACATGGGTCTTGGTTCTAGACCCTTCAAACCAACAGCAAAGTTTCAACTGTGCTGAACAGGAAAAGATAAGCCTTGCACTGCACACAGCTAAGTTCCGAGGGGCAAAAAGGTAGAAGCAAATTTGTAAAAGCAGAATTGCTCCTTAATGGTCACTTTTTGTTTTCATTTTTTTTCCCCTCCATTCTTTTTTTCCCGAAAATGTGTTAACCAGTATACATGAGAAGAGAGCAAATATACTTGACATTGCACTTTTTGTTACCTGGGCATCAAATTTTCCAGCGTTGTGCAGGAACGTCATGCAGATCTCATGTAAGCCTCGGATCTCACAAGAATTGTTTTCAAAGCATTCAAACACTCCACATCCCACATCGCCAGCATTAACCAGGCAGTGCTGGATTTCAGCTAAAATGAGCATTGATTATGGTTAATTTGAAGAATTGTTCACAGAAGCTAGTGGTGGGTGGGTGGAGGGGGAAGATATTTTGCTAACATCATCAGTTGAAAAGAAAAAACACATGTGACAACAGTTATTGTACCCACAGCATGCCCACTTTTTGCAGAAATTAGGCCAAAACTTGGGTGCATGATGTTATGAAAGTGATATCCAAGAAGTGCCAAATCCACTAAGCTTGCATCAAGCTATTTTACTTGAGAACCATCTAATACTTTTTGGTTCCGTAGCAGCTAAAGGACAGGCTCAATTTTTGCTGTCTGGCCATACAAAGACACCCACTGAACTCAGGTGCCCAGGAGAGGTGCAGGAGCTGCAGGAATTGGTTATTCCTCCTACTCTGGGCTTGTATCTGGTGATGTAGCACAAAGTTCTTCATGGACCACTGGGCTCCCCAATCCCAATGTCTGGGAAGCGAACGACAAAGCTCCTGCCGATAGCAAAGTCCTTTGTACTGAGCATTGCATAATGCTGTGACTGCGTCCTCAGCTCCTCAGAAATCAATTCAAAAATGGGCATTTGTGTGTCTGCGTGCATACACATACAACACACATATAAAATGGATCAGTTGGGCTAGCGACTACATATGTAGTTATACTGCCCTGAGAGATGTTATGTAATACGGACAAAAAAAACTGCCCCCCCCCCCTTTTTTTAAAAAATAAAAAATGAAAAATAAAAAAATAAAAAAGGGAAGGACATAGTGGTGCTGCCAGCAGGAAGGTGGCTGCTCCAAAAGCCTGGGCATAAAGTTAAACAGGGGCGGCTTTTAGCACAGGACTGAGGATGCTAAGACCGCCCGTCCTCGGTGCTCTAGTGGTACCCTGAAATAAAGCTCGGGGAGTCGTCCTGACCCCCCCACCGCAGCGTGTTTCGGGGCCCCCCTCTGCCGTGCGGCAACTGGAGGGGGAAATTTGGCCCCTGGCGGGGCCGGCGCTGCCCGCGGCCCTTACCGGGCCCGGGGGTGCCGAGGGGGTCCCGAATCGAGGCCGCTTACCGGCCGGGCTGCCC